GCCTTCTCCCAGCTCAGCCTCGGCACTTCCGGCCTCCGTCCTCCCGGGACTTCAACTCCCAGCGCCCCTGCCGGCGCAGCTGCCCTGTTCTCGGCAGCGCTCTGGGAGAGAGCCGCTCGGGGCACTCTCATGCACTGTAGCACTGTCCTAGCACTGTCCTCCCTTTGTTCACCGATTTGCCCTAGAGGGCACCAGTAACGTCTCCATTGTGAGTCTTGTTACTGTTTTTGGCATATCCAGTACCCCACGGGGAGCTTGCCAGGCTCTGCCCTGAGCGGGGGATACTCTCGGTAGCTTACCGGGCTCTCTGAGAGGGACGGAAGAATGGAATCCGGATTCTCGGCCTGTGTGCTTTGTTTTTTCAGTACTACGCATACACTTACACACATGTATATTTATATAGATTGCCTGGGGATTTCGTCACGGAAACGGTATATCCTGTAAATCCTTCATCAATTGTTCCCTAAGAGCAACCACACGGCAGGAAAAAGACAATGAAACCACATCATCACCTCCGCAGTTCCAAGTTTTAACCCTCCCAGCAATGACTACCCTTGTGTTTTCTTTTTTCTTTTTGTATTTTGTGCCACACCTGATGGTGCCCAGGGCTCACTCTTGGTAGGGCTTGGAGACCCTGTGCAATGCCAGGGATTGATCCCAAGTTGGCTGTGTGTAAGGCAAGATATCCCATCTCTCTGGACCATACCTTTTTTCTTATTTCTTGTTTTGTTTGTGGGAACCTAGTGGAATCGTTCCGGTGATGTTCAGGGAGACTATGTCGTGCAGAAGACTAACCCTGTTCCTTGTCCTTGCTTGCCAAGACCTCAACTGAGGTCTTTCTCTTGCCCGTTTTTCATTTTATTCAAGCCTCAACTTATTAAAACATACATTGCATTCCCATCTAGAGTTGACATAAACTGGAATGGTACCTCAGCATCAAAAATTGTAATGGAGGATTTCGGGGGGGGGGGGGCGGTGCAGGGCTCTCAAGGGGACCCTTTTTGGGTGGTTGGGTGATTCTCTGTATTGTGGAGGATGCACTGGCTGCTCCTACCCTGCAGTGCAGGTTGTCTTTGCCACTGAAGTGGTGCTCAGAGGCTTAGGGCCATCTAGTAGGTTGCTGAGGGTCTTTCAAGGCTGGTGTGTCTATTTTTCTGTGTATCACGGGACTCCATTAAAAAATTTATGAATAGGCCCTGTGTGTTACAAATTACTTTCCCTAAAGTCACAATGTGGTGTACGATATTTCATCCATGACTAAGTCTGTGTGAATACTGAGTGACATTCTGTTACCTTATCCATTCCCAATAGCTGATCACAAGGTGGAAAGCAGGGGGAAAATAATCTCCAGCCAACTACCTTCCCTTATTACCTTTAGATGAATACTGTAAAATAGCTTTCTATAATGGTATTGAAACTTTTTTTTTTGTGGGGGCAGGGGGTTGGGTCCACACCTGCTTAGGGGTTATTCCTGGCTCTGCACTCAGGAATTAACTCATGGTTATGTGCGGGGGACCATATGGGATGCTGGAGATTAAATTCAGGTTTGCAGCATACAAGGTAAGTCCCTACCTGTTGTACTATGGCTCCAGCCTTGGCCAAAAAACAGTTACATAGACATTTTAGTGTAAGAATGGGCTGGAGTGATAGCACAGTGGGTAGGATGTTTGTCTTGCATGCAGCCAACCCGGGTTTGAGCCCAGCAAGCTACCGAGAGTATCTCGCTTGCACGGCAAAGCCTGGCAAGCTACCCGTGAAGTACTCGATATGCCAAAAACAGTAACAAGTCTCTCAATTTGTTGTGAGACATTACTGATGCCCGCTCGAGCAAATCGATGAACAACAGGAGAAGAGTGCAGTGCAACAGTGTAAGAGTATATGAACAAAAGTAAAAAATAAAACAAATGGTCAAACTTTAATTTGAAAGAGTTAAAATTTTATTTTTTTAAACTAGTAATATTTTTACATTTTTCAAAATTTAAAAATCACTTGATCACTTGACATCCCATTACACATCAATTTGCTCAAGCAGGCGCCAGTAACATCTCCATTCATCCCTGTCACATGCCAGTGTAGCCCAATGGTGTCTGCTCGCTCCAGGAACACGAAGAGTCTCAAACTGTTCGTGTCAAGTGATTAAGTGAAACTAGTAATATTTTTACATTTTCCAAAATTTAAAAATATCAAAAGATATAATAAAGCTTGTTCCTTAACTCCAAAACTAGTATGCAGGTTACTTTGCCCCCTTTCAGAGTATTTATGTGTAAGTTTATTTTTTACAATGGAAACAAGGTATAAGATGCCGTTATGCCTTTTTACTTAACAATGTGCTTGAAGTTCTTTCCAAGATACACATTAGTACATACAGTCCCCATTTTTCTGGTGGGTGGGTTGAGTTATACCTGGAGGTGCTCAGGGGTCACTAGTGATGGTGCTTGAGGGACCATAAAATGTGGTACCCAGGACAGAACTGGAATAGAAAACACCTTAACCCCTGTACTATACTCTCTGATCCAATGACTGTTTGCAATTTTAAGGCTGTGCAGATCTCCAGTCCACCACAAGTCAGCTAGTCAATCACAAATCACAAGGTGCAGACAGTGGTTTATTTCCAAATTTCCAGTCTGAAATCATTACCATAGAGAAAATGATCACGATCACGGTCCTTCCGTTGTTCATCGATTTGCTCGAGTGGGTCCAGTAACGTCTCCATCGTGAGACTTATTGTTACTGTGTTTGGCATATTGAATACATCACGGGTAGCTTGCCAGGCTTTGCCGTGCGGGCGAGATACTCTTGGTAGCTTGCCAGGCTCTCCGAGAGGGGCGGAGGAATTGAACCTGGCTCGGCCAGGCCAGCTGCACGCAAAGCAAACGTCCTACCGCTGTGCTATAGCTCCAGCCCAGAGAAAATGATAAATAAAATATATCTATAGGATTCTTTCTGAGAAATAGGTTCAGACAAAGATTTTGTGTTTGTAATTTTGACGGCATAGGATAACTTGCTCTTCATAGAGGCTGTATCAATTTATACTCCCATTAGGAACTAACTCCTTTTAGATAAAAGTCAAGGCTGGATGGAGGGTATATTGCTACAATACTGAAAGTTTTAGAGTTATATGAAATTCACTGTCATAGAAAAATTCTGTTATTGTAAAAAGCATGGGTTACAAGAGAACTAAGAAGGGATCATAACTTTTCTAAATCCAAGATAACCATATAACTATACATGTATGGATATGTATATATGGATATATATATATGTACATTTATGTGGAATCCTAGAGGATTCTACACCCTTCCCCCCACAATACAATTTAGTATATTTTATGTAAATATATATGCGTATTTTTAAGAAAAAAATGTAAGAAAAAACAAAAAGTTCTTTTTGGTTTTTTGGGGAGGGACTCTGGGCGACATCCAACAATGCTCAGTGATCATTCCTGGCAGGCTTAGGGGACCATAAGGAATGCTGGTGACAGAACCACAGTCAGCTCCATGCAAGGCAAGCACACTATTTACTGTACTATTGCTCAGACCCAGAAAAATTAAAACATTCTTAGTTCTTTATGATAATCACCATCTCTGGATGGTGAAAAAAATCTAAGAAATTGAATTTTAAATAAATTTTATACTTTCATACACGGTTACTTTTATAAATAAACCATATTTACCCTAGTTTATTGTAGGAAATTATGCAAAGGAAGGATGAACTGAAAAGGAAAATGGGAACTTTGCCAAATTCTTCACTGCCTGTAAGATGGAGATGAGTGCTAGCAGCGAGCTGCTTATTGCCAGCTAGTTTCATGAGCATTGTGAAAATGTGACCATTCACAATCTGCTATTTTGGGGGCCAAGGTAGAAGGTACAACTAATCCCAGGCTCAGCTTCCAGAACAGCCTTGGTTGCCCCTTCCCAGAGGGCACCAGTAAGCTGAATCACCCTAGAGGCTACACCACATGGTTGATGATCATATGCAGGGCTTAGGGGGCTGAGAAGGTAGTATAGGGATGCCCTGTGTGTGGCTGACGCAGTTTGATACCCAGTCCATGGGTCCCACAGCATCATCGGGTGTGGCCCTGGAAGAGCCCAAGCACTTTGGTGGCCAGGGTAATCCCAGCACAGCACTGTATCCTTGGTCCTTCCTGGCCAGGGTGGTCAAGAACCCCTAGAGGATTCCGCACCCCTCCCTCCATCCTGTCCCCTGCCTCCTGAGCAACAAATGAGGGCTTTGCAGGGGTCAGGGAGATGGCACAGTGTAAGGGCTTGAGTGCTTGGCCTGCAGGCACCCTGGATTCACTCCATGGCACTGTGTAGCTCCCTAAGGAAGGTGGGAGTAACCCCTAAGCACTGCTGGGTGTGGCCGACCCCTCAAGAAAGTGGGAGTCTGGTAGCTATAGCTGCATCACTTTTTATATTTTAAGCAACATCCTATAGTGCTTGGGATCACTCCTGGTGAGGCTTAGGGGACCATATGTGGTACTGGAAAAGAACCCGGTCAACTGCATTCAAGTCAATTAAGCACTCTGCCTTCTATGGTATTTCTCCAGCCCTGGTGCTGGAATCACTTTTTGAATACAAATTTTTAGGATACACCCAGCAGTGCTGAGGGGCTATTCCTGGCTCTGTATTCCGGAGTGACCCTTGGAAATGCTCAGGTGATCAAATATGGTGTCATGAAATCAAACCAGGGTCACAGTCAATGCTGTCACATGTAAATCAAGTTTTTTGGGAAGTGGGGTGGGGCCCACCCCACTTCCCACTTTATTTATTTTTTTGCTTTTTGGGTCACACCTGGCGATGCACAGGGGTTACTCCTGGCTCTGCACTCAGAAGTTACTCCTGGCGGCGCTCAGGGGACTATGTGGGATGCTGGGAATCGAACCCGGGTTGGCTGCGTGCAAGGCAAATGCCCTACCCACTGTGCTATCTCTCCAGCCCCCCACTTCCCACTTTAGGAGACCACATGCAATGTCAGAGATTGAATCTGAGTTAGCTGCATGCAAGGCAAGCACCTTACTTTTTGCATTCTCTCTGGCCCATGTGTGTTAGAGACTGATCCAAGAGCTCATACATGCAAAACACGTGCTTTAGCCCTTTGAACATCTCCATGGCTCACCTCTTTGGTTTTTATAGCCCATGTGCTATGAGATACCAAATATCATATCTCAGTCATAAAGTTGTTTTATACCAATAAAAATGGGGATATAACTCAGCAGTAGATCCTTGGCACTGCAAAGCATGAGCTAGAGAGGTAGCACAGGAGCTAAAGAGCTTGTATTACAAGCAGATGATCCTAGCTCAAATATAAATAAACTTAAGTGCTTTAAAAATACTTAAAGGTACTGCACTTTATTTTATTTTTAAATTTTATTTATTTATATTTATTTTTTTGCTTTTGGGGTCACACCTGACGATGCACAGGGGTGACTCCTTGCTCATGTACTCAGGAATTACTCCTGGTGGTGCTCGGGGGATCTTATGGAATGCTGGGAACCGAACCCGGGTCGGCCGCGTGCAAGGCAAACACCCTACCCGCTGTACTATTGTTCCAGCGCCAGGTACTGCATTTTAGAGATCATTCATAACCATGATGAAAAGGCATGATTTCTGGGATTGATGTGAGATATCAACTAGCATTTGTTAAAATCAAACAATATATCATGGAATTTCACATGAACTTTTTTATCATCTGATTTTGGAGAAGTCTGGGGGAGGGCCAGAGAGATACTACAGTGGGTAAGGTGCTTGCCTTGTACACTGTTGGCCCCAGTTTGGTCACTAAATATGATCCTCTGAGCACTATCTACTCTTGAGCACAGCTACGCATGGCCCCTAACCCTACCAAAAAAAAAAGTGAAAGGACATGTGGCCGTCAGTGAAGTGTGCTCCAGTGACTGTAAATTCAGAACTGGAGCCACTGGGGTCTGTATATACATAGGTAATAACCTGTTTGCAACATATGACTTGAATTCTTAAGTCAACCTCACATATAAACACAATTTAATCCTGGCATGCTTAGAATATTACACCCAATTTTCCAGTGTTATGGCATTTTATTCTAAAATTTTGCAATCATCAATTTTGAAAACTCACAATGCCCCTCACAAAATTCAGGAGTCAATCCTATATCCCATGAATGAGACAGAAAGCAATAAGCAATGCCCAGGTCTCTAAGTATAATATCCCCACGCAGTGACATTACAAGATATCCCACTAACTTAGTACATGTTACCCTATCACCAATTACCTTTGTTTTCATTATTCTTTATAAAACAGGCTATATATATATTTATGTATATATATGCATGTGTGTATAGATATATATACATACATATATATATTCTTGACATTCACATATAGATAGGTTACATTATGCATGAATTCATTTCTTGGTAACAGAGGAACTCAAGAAAAAACATTTATGCTTTCAGGGAGCAGATTTGAGAACCACCTATCTCTGGTGTTTGGGAAACTTCTTTTCCTTAAGAAACCAGGGGTTACCTTCGGCATTTTTATTCTGTCCCTCTACCTGTGAAAATACTATGTGGACTTACCACATTTTTGTAACCAGGGTTCAAAAGTCATCTGTAGTTTCTCCCCTATGAGGATTCGCTGATGTTAACTAACACTGAAGCACCCACAGAAGGCTCTTCAATCCCAATAACGTGCACTGGGTTTTTCTCTTGCATAATCTCATGGATGTCAAACAAGGCAAGTGCCCTGCCTGCAGGTTGACCTGCCTTTGTTCCGCCCCCAGCATTCTCTCCTGAGCGTGCCTGCCGACTGAGCTGTGAGCTACGGTGCCTGTTTCGTCCATGGGGCTCCTCCCTGGTGTGAGTTATCTGGTGTCGGATAAGATGAGAACTCTGAATAAAACACTTTCCACACTGATTACACTTAAAGGGCCTGTCACTACGGGAAGCACTCTCTTCTGGACTCAATGTGGAGTTGCAGCCTAGTGCTTCTGCCCACTCCTGCTTCATTAGAGCTGAAGTCTGCTTAAAGAATAGTCTCTGGCGACACTCATAGGGTTTCTCCCCAGCATGCTTTCGCTGATGCTGGGTCAGGGAGGAGCTGTGCCGGAAGCCCTTCCCACAGTGGTTACACTCGTAGGGTCTCTCTTCTGTGTGAGTCCTCAGATGCAGGAATAGGCAAGTGGTTCGAGAAAAAGACTTCCCACACACACTGCAGGTGTATGGCTTCTCTCCAGTGTGTGTGCGTTTGTGTCTGCCGAGGGAGGAATTCTGGTTGAAAGCCCTCCCACAATCCTGACATTCATAGGGCTTCTCTCCAGTGTGAATTCGCCGATGGACAGTGAGGTGCGTACTATGACAGAAAGACTTCCCACATTCAGCACATTTATAGGGCTTATCTCCTGTGTGGATTCGCTCATGCTGAACCAGGGAGGAGTTTTGGCTGAAGGCTTTGCCACACTCTTTGCACATGTAAGGTCTCTCTCCAGTGTGGATCCTTTTATGCACTGTGAGGTGTGCATTATGGTTAAATGACTTCCCACAGTCTGTACACTTGTAGGGTTTATTTTGTACTTGGCTTCGGGTAAGTTCTGTAGCCTGAATGGCCGGACTGGAATCTTTGCCATAGTTGCTGATGTCACAAGGCTGTTTTTCTAAGGAGGCTGTCTGCTCAATGCCTAAACTTGAATTAAGGCCCAGATTTGTAACCTGCGAGTCATCAGTAGTGAAGTATTTTTGCCTAGAAATCTCCAGTAATGGATCTGAATTTGGGACACAGTTATCCTCAAATTGGAGACTTTCACAGTCTCGATCTTTGACTGGTGCATCCTTGGAACCAAATTCCAATTGCTTCAAATCATCCTGGTCCAACTTGGGCTTCTTTATATGGTTTTTACCTTCCCATTCTATCTCCAGTGTGGCAGAATAGGGAGCATTCAAGATATGGGATGACTTCTCCTCAGGAAAGTCCTGCTCCTTGGGTGACGTTCTATTCTCAGGTCTAAGCTCCCAGCCTGAAATAAAACCAAAGAACTCTGAGGAGGCAATAGGAAAGCAAGAGAGGGAAAGATCCCCAAACCTTAGATATAAGTCCTACCTATCTGTCCGTATACCACTAGACAAATACAGATTCTGCCAAGGGTCCCATTCAAATATACAGCCTTACTAATTCATTCAACAAAAATTTTGGTTTTAGGACCATTGTGACAGTATAAAGGAAAGGGTGCTTGCATTGCAAGCGGCTGACAAGGGTTTGATCTCTAGTATCACATATAGTCATTGAGCCCCACCAGGAGTGATCATTGCATGCAAAGCCAGGAGTAACCCATGAGCAATACCAGATGTGACCCAAAACAAACAAACATTTTGGTTTTAAAAAACTGGGTAATGCTGATGGGAATGTTGACTGATCCAGCCTTTCTGGAAAACATAAAGGGTTACTACTGGCAGTGCTCAGGGATGCCAGGGATACAACACAGATTGGGTGCATGCCAAGTTAAGTGGCCTACTCACTGTACTACCGCCCTGACCCCTCAACCAAAATTTCATAATTACCTGCTTCAGGACATAAACTGGCAGGCAAACCTCAGCTCCAAATGTGAGACTGGCAGAGTTATTGCCCTGACTGTCAACCAGTGAGTCAGTCAACACAAAGAGACTTGACAGGTGACATAATAGCTATTCATTCTACTACCTTAAATCTTAAAATAGGGAGATGTGCTGAATTATTCAGGTGAATCCAAAGTTACCCCAGTGTTTAAGAGGAAAAGGAAGCAGAGGAGACTAAATGTGAAACACAACTGAGGTAGAGAACAGTCTTGGCTAACAGAATGTAAATAAATAGAAACCTTAGTCCTATGAATGCATGGAGCTGAATCCTTGCCTACAGCCTAACAGAACTGAATAGAGAATGTTCTCCAGCCTCTGATAGTCCCTCAACCCAAACCCCTGAATGATATCTTGACTCTGACTTTGTAAGATTCAGAGGAGAAACCACTCTGGTTAGACTGGTAGTAAGAAATATTTAAAATATATGTTGTTTTAAGTTGCTAAGGTAGTACTAATTTGCTATATAGTCATAGCAGAAAACAAATATATTTGTGTTTGTTTTGGCCATACCTGGAGATGCTCAGGAATTATTCCTGGCAGTGATCTGGGGACCATATGGGATGATGGGAACTGAGCTGGCCATGTGCAAGGCGAGTGTCCTACCTACTGTATTACCTCTCTGGCCCAGAAAACAAATACATTTGCAAAAACAGATATAGATACTCATGTTTCTTGCAACACCTAAAATATTTACTACCTTTAACAGTAAATGGAGATAAAGCAATGACCCTGACAGATGAAAAGCCCTACCCTGAGGAGCAGTGGAGGCAGATACTGATCAGAACAGGTCGTAAGGCTTAGTTGGAAGATAGAAGAGCTCAGTTTTCAGAAATCTAAGTTTGCTATGCAATATAATAAAGTGGAGGCGCACTCATGTCTTCAGGAATCTTTGGAGGACAAACACCAAATTCTACAATCTTCCGGAGTAAGAAATGCCCCTCAAGGAAGCAAAGGAAACACATGCTTTCTCTATCCTTATAGCACAGTGAAGTAAAGTGTATTTATTTCATATGGCTGCTGGAACAACTTAATTAGCATGGCATTGTTCCTTTTGGAATTTACATTCTTTCCAGTTCCAGCTTTTATTTAAAAGTCTCCAACATGAGACTTAAGGGTATCCAATGTGACTACTAAGAAAGTACTCTGGGAAACTTACACCTGGTTTACACTGGGATTTGCCATTTCCTTTTTTTTTTTTTTCTTTCTGGGTCACACCCAGTGATGCACAGGGGTTTCTCCTGGCTCTGCACTCAGGAATTACTCCTGGTGGTCCTCAGGGGACCATATGGGATGCTGGGTATTGAAACTGGGCCACGTGCAAGGCAAATGCCCTACCTGCTGTGCTATCACTCCAGCCCTGTCCTTTTGCCAATTTCGTTTTGTTCTTTTATGATAATCACTGGATCTACAGGTGATGGACACTGTCACACCACCTTTTCAAAGTGGCTTATATGCAGTCACCTCTTTGGCTATTCCCATTAAGGATTCCCACTAGAAATGTTCTCACCTGGATAATGGTCCTGCGCAATTCCTCTCTCCATCACCCATAGCTCAGCCCCTTGTTCCAGCTGTGAGATGACTTCAGGTTTGGGAAGAACAGGCCCTTGAAATGGAAAGAACAGGACATGAGGATCTACAGAGAGAAAGAACCAGTCCAGGATCCAGTTCCTACTTCTGCCCATTAAGACATAGGGATGCTTTAGAAAGTCAAAATTTTGCGTTGGAACAGAAAAAGATCAGGTAACCTTCCTATCACCCCAGCCTGTGTATTCCACGGGAAATGAGAATCTAAGGTTTCAAGGGACCTAACGTCAAGAATTCATATCTGATGCCATATGACTTATAACCCATGGGGAATCATTGACTCTAGGTATCTGTCAGTCAGCCAGAAAGGAAGCCTTACCCACAGAAAGCAGGTGCCCAAAGGTTTCCAGCATCACATCACGGTACAGAGTCCTCTGGGCAGGGCCCAGATGTCCCCACTCTTCCTGGGTAAAGTCCACAGCCACATCCTGAAAGGTGACTAGCTCCTGAAATACACATATCTCCATTAGCTCAATCATCTCATTAGTACTCGCAGGAGAAGGAAAAGGAAAGACGAGCAAGAGAACTGAGAATAGGTTAGTGATGTGAATGTCATCTCACTGGGTACCTTCCTTGATATACATGCAGATATGGCCTGTGGAGTGTGGACAAATGAGAGCACCAAGGTAAGATAACAAAGCCAATCAAGGCTCACCTACAACTGATCAGATGATGGTGCTGAAACAGACTGGTCAAAACCACTAGCATGCAGTCTATGAGCTAAAAAAAATCTGGGGGGTTGGGAAGGGTTTTGGGTCCACATCCACCAAGCAATGCTCAGGGGTAACTCCTGGCTTGGCATTTAGGAATCAGTTCTTGTGGTGCTCAGGGGACCCTATGGATGCCGGATTTCAAACCCAGGACAGCAGTTGGGGGCTGGAGTGATAGCACAGCGGGTAGGGCATTTGCCTTGCACATGGCCATTTCGGGTTCAACTCCCAGCATCCCATATGGTCCCCCAGCACCGCAGGAGTAACACCTGAGTGCAGAGCCAGGAGTAACCCCTGTGCATTGCTGGGTGTGACCCAAACAGCAAAAACAAAACAAACCCAGGGCAGCCACGTGCAAGGCAAATGCTTTATCAACTGTACTATGGCTGGAGCGATAGCACAGCGGTAGGGCATTTGCCTTGCATGCAGCCAACATGGCCGACCCGAGTTCGATTCCTCTGCCCCTCTCGGAGAGCCCGGCAAGCTACCGAGAGTATCTCGCCCGCACGGCAGAGCCTGGCAAGCTCCCCGTGACGTATTCGATAAGCCAAACACAGTAACAACAAAGTCTCCAATGGAGACGTTACTGGGCCCGCTCGAGCAAATCAATGGACAACGGGAGGGCCTTTACCTTTACCTTTACTATTGCTCTGGCCCCCTAAATTATTGCTTTAAGCCACCAAATTAGAGAACTGTTTTTTAAGCCATAACAGTTAATAATACTCAGATTTGAAAGGGTCTGATAAAAATATTCAGGGCTCATCATGCTCCTGAAAAGTTGAAATCAGAAACTCACCTGATAAAAGTAAATGAAATGGATCAACTTAGAATCTATAAGTGGGGGCTAGAGCGTACAGTGGGTAGGGCTTTTGCCTTGTACACCACCAACCCGGGTTCAATCCCTTGCATCTTATCTGATCCCTTGAGCACCATCATATCACCAGGTGTGACCCCAAAACAAACAAACAAACAAACAAGAACCTATAATGGGGACTGGGGACATGGTACAGTGATAGAGCAAATGTATTTCTTTTCATTTTTGGGGGGGTTTGTTTTTGAGTCTTACTTGGCACTGCTCAGGAGCTACTCCTAGCTCTGCAGTCAGGGATCACTCTTGGTGGGGTTTGGAGAATTACAAGGGGTGCCAGGGGTCAAACCTGAGTTGGCTGAGTGCAAGGCAAGCACCCAATCGCTGTAGTATCTCTTAAGCCCCATAACACATATCTGTCTTGCATGTGAGGCGCCAAATTTGATGCCTGCTACCACATGGCTCTCTGAGCATTTCTGGGTGTGGCCTTTGTGACTCAATATTGCTAGGTGTAGTCTCTATTCAAAAGAAAAGCAAAACACTAAGGGGTACTCAATCTATGAATGATAATGCAGGCATTAATAGGAAATTTATATCCTGTCTGCATGGACAACTGGGAATCAGAACAAATTAAATACAAGAAAATACAGGTCCTGGGACCAGAGTGATAGCACAGTGGGTAGGTCGTTTGCCTCCCAGCATCCCATACGGTCCCCTGAGCACTGCCAGGAATAATTCCTGAGTGTAGAGCCAGGAATAACCCCTGTGTGAGACCCAAAAAGAAAAAAAAATACACGTCCAAGGTGATCAGGTACGCCAATCTCAGGAGAAACTTAAAAACTAGATAATCAAGTAAAAAACATTTTTTAACTAACTTGCCCTGTTAAATACAAAACAAAAACACACAAAAACCTCCCAACCCTACCAATAAACATATGAAACCTGATTTTTATTAGAATGTAATTATTTCTTTACATTACTAAGTCAAAATCAAAACCCAGATGAGGTGTATGTGTTGCAGGGAGTGGCAAAGGATACTATTACTAAACTTCACTCTCTGCATAAAAATGCCAAGTTATTCACTCTTCATAAAAAGCAATTACACGGGGGTATGGTGCCGCCAGCAGGTCAATCTGTACCTGTGAGGTGAGTGCATCAGCAGCCTGATGGCAATGTCAGACTTTTAGATACCCCAGAATTGCTGCTGTGCCTTTGGCCAGACCCCAAAAACTTGGGGCAAAGCTTACCAAGAAAGTAAATGGCCAAAAGGTAGGTATGTGGGAAACACACCCACAAACCACTT